TGGTACAACCACCGTGAAAACAGCATGGCACTTCTTTAAAAGAAGCTGCAGAGAGAAATATCATGTTATCCAGCAACCTCACTCCTAGGGATAACCCCTGAAAAGTAAGAACGGTGCACAAAGAGGTACATACAGACCCATGTTCACTGAAGTGTAATTCACAATAGAAAAAGAGAGAAACCATCTAAGTGCCCATCGATGGATGAACAGATAAACTAGTCTACGCACACAAGGGAATACTACACAATGATAAACAGTAACAATTCATCCACGGAACATTTGATAACATGAACGAATTGGGAGGACATAATGCTGAGTGAAGTATATAAAAAAAACTATTTTTAAAAAGAGGGAGAAAGTCCTTTGGTGGTTATCAGGGATAAGAGTTGGGGGTTTGGCTGTATATATTTCTGCATACATAATTTTACGTGCTGCATGTATATTGGTGGTCTGGGGGCATGGTTAGTTATACCTTGGGCTGCTAACCACAAAGTCAACAGTTCACAACCACCAGCTGATCCACAGGGGAAACATGAGACTTTCTATTCCCAGGAAGACTGACCTTCAAAACCCACAATTCTACTCTGTCCTGTAATGACTCAATGGCAGTGAGTGTTTAGCATGTATATTAGTTTAGACTATACATCCATCACACAAGGGCTACAGTCATGGAACCCAGGATGAAGTTCCTAGGCTAGAAGTCAAATTACCATAGACTTGGGAAATACCCGTCAACTGGCACAAGTTTATAAAGAAAATATTCTGCATCCTCCTTTGGTGGGTAGCATCTGAGGTTTTAACCTCTTGCAAGTAGCCTTCTAAGATACAACTGTGGGATTCTTCTCATCCAGAGCAATGAAGAGTGAAGTTAATCCAGGGGACAAATGAATCGCAGGAACCACAGCCTGCATGTCCCCAGGACCAGCATGATGGTGCCCAGCTCAGACTGGGATCACAACAGAAAGTCCCAGAGAGTGGGAGAAAAAGGTAGAAAAAAACTATCAAAGTTACACAAAAGACCAAACTACTGTGACAGAAACTAGAGGAAGCCCCAAGACAATAGTCTTCTCCTACCCTTTGAAACCGAAGCCATTCCTGTAGACCACCTTTCAGACAAACAATAGAGACAGTCCCATAAAATAATTCATTACACCAAAGAAAAGCGTGTTCCTTAGAGTAATCACTTAGACAAGATCACAAAGAAAACAGGCGATGAGAAGGCTGGAAGGGGTAGAAAATGCAGAGGAGAGGAAACGGGGAGAGTGTTGACACCTGGTGGGGAATGCAACCAATGTCATGGTGAATTATACATTGGGCTGTTAATTTCAAGGTCGGTGGTTCAAAGCCAGCAGCCGCTCCTTGGGAGAAAGATGAGGCTTTATGCTCCCGGAGAGATGTACAGCTTTGGAAAGCCACAGGGGCAGTTGGACTATGCCCTCGGGGGTCGATAGGAGTTGAAATCAACTTGGTGGCAGGGAGTTTGGTTTTCCAGTTTATCAAATGGGAAAACTAATTTGCTCTGTAAGCTTTCACCTAACGCACAATTAAAATAAAAAAGGCAGTTAAGAAAAATGTGCGTGCTGGTCAATTAAGAAATAACCCTCAGTGATTTATCTTTGCTATTAATAATGTACTTACTGTCCCACTCCCATAGATTCTAAAAGCATTTTGTGAACACCCATATGCTAGAATAGTTGTGTTACTGCTATAATGGGTCCTGTGCATTCCTGAACAATTTCATATTTTACAAAATTCTATCCTAACCATACATATCTTTTGGGGGGGGGCGGGGAGAAGGTTTGTTGGGGGCATTCCATTCAAAACCTATGGAACTACAAAACAAGCTGAGGTAACCTGCAGAGGGAATCTGGCCACAAAGCAGGTGGCTCAACATAGCTCAGGTCTACCACAGTGGTTATTAAAAATACATACAAACAACTGAGGGAAAATGCTGGCTCGGCTTTAATTAGAAGAAGGCTGGCAGAGCCAAGGAGAATACAGGAAGAAATAGAACCTGCCGAGACCTGCGCCAGGCTGTCACTGCACCTCTCCTCAAAGGGACCCCTGGGAAAGTGATTACAATGATTTTACACACACACACACACACACACACACAAAGAACACATGCATACTAACAGACATACACATATATTGTTGTGTACCCAATTCCAACCCACAGTGAACCCTATAGCAGCAGTTCTCAACCTGTGGGTCATGACCCCTTGGGAGGGGGGTCGAACGACCTTTTCACAGGGGTCACCCAATTCATAACAGTAGCAGAATTACAGTTATGAAATAGCAACGAAAATAATGTTATGGTTGGGGGGTCCCCACCACATGAGGAACTGTATGACAGGGTCGCAAGGCAGGAGGCAAGTTGAGCACCACTGTGCTAGAGGAAAGAGTGGAAATGCTGCAGAAGACTCCTCAGGCTGCACTCTTTGAGATCAGATAGTCAGCCAAGTCTTTGTTCCTAGAGAGCTATAGGGTATGTTTGAACCTCCAACCTTTTGATAAACCGCTGAGCACTTAACCACTATACCACCAGAGCTCCTTTATATATGCAAACACATGCATGCATGCTTACAAACACATACAGGCATGCAAAAATACACATATACCTACACACAATTCATTTGTATGCATCCACATGCATTCACACAGACACACAAGGACATACACACACCACCAGCACCACCTCGGCAGCTGAGCTGAGAGCTTTCTCCTGTCCTGCTGAAGGTCGCCATTCTACTTCTATCACCTCACTCCCTTTGCTTCACAAACAATTGTGACTAAGCCAGGCTCACTTCAGCCTTACTCAGCCACCTTGCCCCTTGGTGTGAGCCAGGCCGGAGGTAATCTACACTACAGGACAGCGCACACAGGCCTCCGAGCTCGTGCTTTCCCTGCCACACATCCCAGTCCCGTGTCCAGCAACGACAGAACTCCAGACCAAGATGTGGCCGCCGAGTCAAACAAGCAGCAGCAAGAAAACACTCACGTATAATAGGTTGGATACAGTCCTTCAAAATACCAGCAGTGCTTCTTGGCATCTGTGCCCTGCAATGAGAAGGAAGAGAAACTTCGTCAGCGGGAAACATCAGCATGTTGTTGAAAAGACTTCTCAACATACCCAGGACAGATAAGTAGATGTAACTTCAATGTGTGACACTCTGGGGCAGAGACGAGCCCAGGAAGTAGAGAGAGGGGCCCATCTCCTTCCTCACAATGTTTTATTTATATTTTTAACAGGGAAGAAAATAGAGCAAAATGTACACGTTCCTACAGATTTTCCCAAAATACACTGAGCATGCGTAATGAAAGGCAATCCACCTTTAAAATCCAGCTGGCAAGACAACTTCAGATGTCTAAAGGATGCTAGAAATACAGTACTATAAAGATCTCTACTTCCCCCGGATCTTCATGCTTAAAAGGCTCTGTGTTCTGCAGTTTTAACATGTCTAGACCTCTACCATCAGAATTCTCTCAGCAGGCTCTCCTATCCTCTCTCCTGTGCAGGGGTGAGTAAGAGGGAAAAAGGGAACAAGGATGCCCCTCTCACAGGGGGCTAGCTCCTGTCACTGCAGAGGAGGGCACTGAGGCACAGAGGGTGGCAGGGCCGTGCACACCCACTGAGGAGGCGGCTCCATGCACTCCCTGCGATCTCCATCAAGTGCCAGCAAGCACAGGGCCATCACCTGGCCAGGGAGTAAAATTCCTCATAAAAGTTCTCTGACCCACCTAGACAAGCCACCACCAACCCCCCACCCCACCCCCCACCAATTATTTTACTCACATCTCACACTGTTTAAATTTTCACTTCCTACCTCTACGATCCACTTTAATGGACTCATTATGTGCAAATAAAAGCTTTGAACTATAATAGTTTCAAAGCTACCCGCACACAGAAAACTAGCAAGGAGCACAGTATAAACCAAATTTGGGGAGTGAAACCAGTGGCCAGGTGCCATCGAATTGACTCTGACTTCAGGTGGCCCGGTGTCAGAGAAAAATTGTGCTCTGCACATCCTGGC